TTATCACAAATGTTGAAAGAACTTAGATTCAAATCATGATGATAAATGTTGATGATGAAGACCCTACCTTTTGGGTGAACTTGGTTCCATTTTTGTTGATTGTTGTAAATTTGTATTATTATTCACAGATTGTTCTTTTAAACCGCTGGATACTTTTGTATTGTTATTTACAGTTTTAGTCGGAGTTGAAGAAGTTGCTGTGGTATTTCTTTTTTTACTGGGTTCCTTTGGAGGTGCTTTAGTTGTAGTTGGTATATTTTCTTTTTTATTATTCTTCTGTTGCTAGAAACAAAAAGAAAAAGACCACAGCTTAAGATTCTATGGACACTGGTGAAGTTTGAATCTGTAGATTACAGGGTAATCCTATAAAGAGAAAACCTTACCACAGCTAGAGGGGGGAATAGGCTATTTTTTATGCATGAAAAATTCACACTTGGCTCCAAGGCTTGGGAAAATAAAATGAAAGAAATAACATCAAAGTTGAGGGATAAATAATCACTTTCTTAAGTTTTATTCCCCTTAAGCCTTGGAGCCATGTTAGAATTTTAATATATTGAAAAATGGCCTATTGACAATCAGATCTTGGGAGTTAGAGAGTTAAGAAAGCAATTTCTAACCCTCTACCTGAGAGGCACAGGAAATAAATCACCTTCAAAATATTACACTAAAACCAGTCAAAGAAGTTTTGTGTTGCATTTGAGAGCTACATCATGAGACTCCATCAGAAATCTTTCCATCATCAGTACCTGTATATTTTCTTTTTCATCCTTTGCTTTCTTCTCTCTTTCTTTTTCCTTCTTTCTTTCCTTATTCCTCTGTCACAAAAAAGTACACACTTTTGGTTTGGTCGATTAGCTTCACTGGCCCTTTGACCCCTAAGCCAGAGCATGAAATTAATTTTTTTTTTCTGATAGCCACTTGGCTCCTAAATTCTTCGAAGTGGTAGCCAATTCAAAAAACATTGGTCGCCATTTTCAAAGATAAACAAAACCTTTTTTTACGCTGTCATTGTTCTAAATAGACCCTCCAAAATTAAGTTAGGAAAAAGATCTTTAACATGCTACAAAGTGGACACTAGGATGGATGATATACAACGTTCAAGCTCACCTAAATCCAAGATGGTGTCTAGTTGTCGATCAAGAAACATGTGCTGTGTTTTGGAATCAAACTTCACAAGGAAGTTTGCCGTGGATTTATCTTTGCAAATCTTTTTAATTCACTATTTCTTGGTAAGGTTATGATGAAACATTCTAGTTGCCAATTTGGCAACTAATTTTCAGGATTTGGTCACCAAAGTGAAAAATTTAGTTGCACTGGCACCTGTATTAAACACAATTTCATGCCCTGAGGGTGATTAACATGCAATTTCCCTTTATAATATCACACCTGAATAACATACATGTATTTAGTGCAAAAATAAAGGAAATGATCCAATTTAGATGCTCTTCAAAAGCACCTAAAAAAATGTATAGAGAACAGTATGGAGAATATGCATACTGATGTAAGGGTGTCAAGGGTTAACTCCTGGTGTTACGGGGAAGAATTTTCCTCAGCTAAGAACACTTATGCTTCTTGAGAGGAAAACAAAAAATAACAAGTTTAATCAAACCAATAAAAACACTTTTTTACCCAAGAGTTTGTGAGGGGACAAAAATTCTCTTTTCATAATTTCTGGGTGCAAGTTAATGCCCTACATGAAAAACAAACCTTCTTTTTAGCTCTCCGTTTTTCTGCTTTTTTCCTGTCTCTCTCTTCCTCCTCTATAAGCTCTTTTGCATTTTTCATGGCTTCCTGCAATAAAACCAAATATCATATTCCCTCAGTTAAAGATCGAATGGCAAAATTTATAATGCTTTTTCTTTTTGAACAAATTTAAAAATAGCCATGACCCTCAGCATGACAAACTTTACATTATTTTTTCCACTTTCAAAAAATCTAAGGTTCATTTTTAATTTAAAAAGATGGCACATTAACAAATATATTTTACAAGCAAAACAGTTTTGGGATCTTTATCAAAATTAATGATTCATTTACTGCCAACTCAACCAAAATTGTACACAGTTATTATTAATTCAAATGATCTACATACTTTCCAACTTTCTATGAATGGAACATGACAAAAAATTAATACAACTCACCGCCTCCGATAAATTGTGTGCAGGACGACCTGCAAAATCAAAGTATTTACATTTAATGTTGAGCCCCTGACTAGGGGCCTGGACAGGCAGTTTGACTTGCTTTGTGAGACCTTCCCCCTTACTCCACTTTCCTTTACAAAATTTCAATGCTCAATATGAGAGGACAGACTTGCCCATGTCACCAACTACCATCAGGGGAACCAGCACATGGAAAAACAGATTTAACTTAACCATTCTTATTACACACTAACATAAATACCTGTTCATATGCATGCTACCAGTCAGAGTAGAGCAGGAATTTCAAATACCTTTTTCAGAGGGTTTTTTGGACTCTGACTTTTTCCTATAACTCTGTGCCATTCTTTGAAGAATTTCATCGACCGATTCATCATCATCGTCATCATCCTCATCATCATCACTGTAGCAACTGTTGTCAGAGTCATACATTCCTGGGTAGCCACCAAACATTCCTTGATAAAACAAATGAGGTGCAAAAAAACTTTGTTGCTAAAAGTTTGATGACAATCTGTCAAAGATAGTCTTCTAAAAATTAGGGAGTCATTAACTCATGCAAATTACATTGTCTACAATCATATTGGCAACACTTTTTGAAGCTCATTACGTCAAATATTTGGATTTCATGAAAATCCCCAAAGCCCTCTGCTAAGATAAGTCATCATGTTTACAACATGTAACTTGGGGTTTATCTATCTCACATTTACATCTTAATTCTGCTGTCCTGTTATGAAATCAGAGGATTGGATTTAGTTCCTAGTAAAACTGTGCTTTACTCTTACCATTTCGTTGAAAGACAATGTGAGCAAAGAGATCAAACATATCTGCCTGCAATCAGAATAAAAGTGAAAAATCAAATGGCTTTATAAAATAATTCAAATAGTACACGTGCTCTGATTGGCCATAAAACCATTTTACATGAGCGTATGTAAACATGGTTTTTGTTCCTCTTTCATTAGTTATTTTATAAAAGAAATGTAAAATGGTTTCTGTGTTTACATAGCCTGATGTAAACACTTGGGAGGTTGGGAGAACACGAGATAAGCTCGCTCCACTCTGCTTTGTGTCGTGCTTTCCTACACTTATCTCGTGTTCTCCCAACCTCCTGCATGTTTACATCAGGCTATGTAAACACGGAAACCATTTTACATTTCTTTATTAATATACAGTAAAATCTGAAAAAAAGTCAAACTCCACACACACACACACACAAAAAAAAAAAATTACATCACAAGCACAGCACAGAGATGAGACTTGGAATCAAGAAAAGGAAATTAATTTTAATTAGGGAAGACATAAAAGCAGGAATGGTGCTCACTGGAGTCAAGTTGATCTCATCATCTGAATCCTCACTGGTAAGTCGCTTGTATGCCGAGGACACCTCCTGGAATTTCTGAAGATGAAAAAAAACTTTTAAACAATACTTGCACTGGCATTTTAAATTCTAATGTACATACTATGCATATATGTAAAAGACAATTTGGTTCCATCAACTGAGTTGATAATGGAAATTAGCCTATGTAAAGAGCTCTAAGGGCTACATTTTGAGCATTGACTCTCTGCCAGAGCAAATAGAGCAATTGTGGTAGTGTGGTATGTAAAAGATTGAAACATCTGACTTGATAAAGAGGTTTCCATGGCATCAATGATTTATGCAAACAATGCACTCTAAGAGTGTAAAATACTTATCATCAACACATCTAACAAGAATTCAACCATCCTGAGAACAGTGTTCTCATTTTCAGGCATTTCAAAATTACCTCTATAAAATCCCTTGGAATTCTTGAAACTTCAACAGGTATTACAAGAGTTGCTCCCTCCATTTAAAAAATTATGTTGCCTTTTGCGCTTAAAATAAGGGTGAACACTGCCAAGGAATACCCAAGATCTAACTGGAACATCAAGGCCCCATGTAGCACCAGTTACTATCAACACTAATCTTTGCATTAGTTTGTACCTTTGTTGCCTCCTGACTATTGTTATGTTTATCAGGATGCCATTTTAAAGCCAGGCGTTTGTAACTGGATCTTATCTCTTCATAACTTGCCCCTTGAAAAAGAAAACAGTTCAACATTATTCAAAAGAACCCCTATGATGACTAACTGAATACACCCATTTGGATTTTCTCTAGTGATGTTACTGATAAGCAGGTGCTAGGGAAGTAAACTCACTTCATATAACCCCAACAAAAATTAACTTAAAATTACTCATTCCTGTTTCTCAACAAAATTTTTCCCTATAATAAAATTGAGTTAAAAGTAGGTCATTACTAGGAATTAAAAAAAAACATTTTTTCCATAGAAACCTAATAAATCACACTTACAATGCCAGCTTCAACCTTATAATCAGTGTTAAACATGTTTTGTTTGAGAGAAGTTCACCAAAAAATAAATGTTATATCATTCTATTTTAGAGGAAAGTCAGCTAACTGGTTCAAGCATTTACCCTCTTTATGATATATAAACATGGGCCTGCAGTCCTTAAAGTATAGCTACACCCCCATGCAGATGCATGAGGAGAAAAAAATATATTGTATAGGAGATATTGTTTGCAAACTATGATATGAAATAACATTGAGGCCTAAAAGTGAAAATGTTAATACACAAAGCATGGGATAAAATAAATTAAATACATGTTGATTATCACTTAACCCTTTAACTCCCAGAAGTGATTGACAAGTAACTTCTCCCTATAATAACTTAACATTATCCAGCAAACAAGTCATGAGAATATTCAAACTTATCAGGTCAAAGTTGTTATCTTGGATCTGACAGCAAATCTTGAATTTTTTAAAAATCATTATTGTTTTGCCAACAGGCATGTAATTATTTTAATTCTTGTAATAATTTGTTACTGTCTCTTTTTTAATAAAGTTTTCATGTTCTACAATAGCACCAATGTCTGTAAGGCAAGGTCAGTACACATTATCAATGAATCCTGGGTGTAAGGTGCAATTCACTAGGCAATCCTTTTGATGTTTTTTATTTTGTTTTCTTTGAATCAAGGGTAATTGTCTTCGTGGTGCTGAGGTTAAAGTTCAAACAAACAATTCAAGGCAAGACTTAATCATTCATGCTATATTGAGAGCATTCTTGTACTTCCTGTTATAAAAATAACTATTTTGTTTTCCTCGCTATCATATCTAAACAAGGAAAGTAACAATACTACGACTTTTGAACATCCGATTCCGTCTTACTTTGAAACAGCTCTTTAACTGTTATTAATAAGCTGAAATAATACGATGAGAGTACAATAACCAATACAAAATTGACGGAACAATAGTGCATTTTCCGTCACGCAATTTCAGCTCTTCGAACGCTGCTGAAAATAGTTTAATATACAATATTTAGCTTTCAGCAAGAACTTCCTCATTCAGTACCTCAACAAGAAACAAAAAAATATAAATAAAACTTCAATACACAAACTAGTTTTGGTATTTCTTTTCTTGCAAATAATTTACAAAGAGATGTTTCTCGTAAGATACAACCACCTACAACCTATTTCTGGTCATTTCCCTATTTAGATGATACGTTCTTCATTGAATCGAATTTGGAGTCTTCGAAAGGATGACCTAAAGACGATGGTACAAACCTAGAGGTAGCTCCAAGACTGAGTACGCTTCGCTCTTCGAAAGGCCCATTTTACACGTCTTAAAACACAACTTTGTTTAAAGTTTCGCTGCAAGTAGGTCCGCCATATTTCATACTTTCACGTGTAAAGTTTTTTGGCGCGAATGGAGTATTCTGGGAAATTTAAAGTCTCGTGACTCGGGATCACGTGTTTTTGCATCAGCGGTTAACTTCAGTAGTGCCAGAGCCTCTCAAAATAATCAGCCACAATATTTGATGTAATTCTCTCAGAGATTTAGGAAGAATTATACAAACTTTAATTGGTAATAATGGATTTCTTCTCTGCGTTTAGATCATATTCATGTAATTGAAATTCACAGTATTGTCATCGTCAGGAAACTAGAGCCAGTATGATTTAAAGAAAACTTGCTTCGCCTGAAAATTAGCGAACAGTTTTTCTTTGGTCTAAAACTGATTCGTGGCTAATAAGTTTCATTGAAAGCAATGGTTTATGCCATGGCTGAGACAAAATCAGGTCCTTTTTCGCCGAAGAAGCCAGTGAAAGAGAAAATTGTGGGAATCTACGATGACTTTTTTAAGGTAATTGACTTGCTTTGATTCTTTTTTATTTATTTATTACTAAATGTCTAATGAGTACGTGTATACTGTATATATGTTAATAGTTTTTGGTTATAATGCGTGTATCACCATTGCAATCATTACAAATAATACATGTGTGATCAGTTTGTTTTTCAACATAAGTTTGCGTTAGCTGCTCTTTTCGAATTTCCCCTAATTGTAGGAGATTCTTCTTTAGAGCGCAATTGGCAAGATGTCAATGTGGCTTTTTTTTAATTGTTTCATTTCGCAGTGATGATCACTGACATGATTATTTGGATGATTACCATAAAAAAACATTTTAAATTCATTTGAATAGGAGTTTTGCATGGAAAAACACTCACCTATGTAATGTTATGTTAATGATAGTAATTAGTGCGTAGAATAACAGAACATGTTAAGAAGGATGTGTTTTGATCACACTCTTTTTATTTAGGGAGGTGAGCCATCTCGTGATAATCCAAATTTCTGGCATGAATTTTTTCTTTTGAGGGTAAGTTGTGATTGTTTAAAAAAAAACTTTGAGTGTTGACAGGGGTGGAGAGGGAAGGACATTGAGGTCATTCTCTCCTTTGGTTCCCAGCCCTTCTCTCCAGCCTCTCAGACTCAGTGACCTCTGACTTCTATCTTCTGCTCTTCATTGTGAAAAATTGTAGATAATTGATAAATGACTGCTTTTCTCCAAGGGTTTGTCTCTACATCACTCTTACCTCCTATTTCCTACTAGCACCCCTTTCCCAACTCACTCTCATATTCATCCCTGCTTCTGTGCTCTGACTGCTTCAACTTTCAAGGCAATCATAGTAAACTACAAGATGGTGTATGTGCATGTAAATAAATAATTTTGTCTCAAAATTTGTAGCTAGGTTTTGGCTTCTCTTTGGGTGTTTTTGGCTTCTGCTGTAGAATGTTAGTCCTTAACATTATGATATTAATTTAAACTTAACTAATTTAGTGAAGGCACGGTGGCCTCATGGTTAGTGCACTTGACTCTGGATTGAGTGGTCTGGGTTCGAGCCCTGGCTGTGGTCATTGTGTTGTGTTCTTAGGCAAGACACTTTACTCTCACAGTGCTTCTCTTCACCCAGGTGTACAAATGGGTACCAGCAAATATGCTGAGGGTAACCTTGTGATGGACTAGTATCCCTTCCAAGGGGGAGTAGCAATACTCCTAGCTGCCTCATGCTAAGGAAACTTGGGTTAAGCGCCAACCCCACGGGCCACTTGGGCTGGTATAAAGGCTTTACTTTTTACTTCACTGTGAATTCCTTGTAGGTTAATGCCATCTACCTTGAAAAGTGTATCGACAAACTTAGTGAAGAGGAACTTATGGATATCAAGGTACAGGCTGCAAATGAAAGGCTACAACACAGTGTTAGTTGTTACACGCATGGTTAATTTTATACTGTTATGAGGGCTCATATCCATCCATACCAATGCCTTATGGCATGAGCAAGGAGTTATTTTAAGTGTAATTTAACTTTGTACACAACTTTTATTCAGGAGAACATCAACCTTCTGTTCGCCCAGTGCTGTATTGCTTTACGAGGAGATCACCAGATAAAACTAGTCAATGCTCTTCAGGTTTGTATAGTATTGGAATATCTTAAACTTTGTCTGATGTATAAAATTGCTTGGTTAAGATAATTTAGGATAAAAATAACCAAAAATCAACATGACTTTGCTAATTGCAGACACTGTGTGCACTTGTGCGAGCAGTTTACAGAAAGAGATTAGGAGACCATGGATTTGACATAATAAACATTTTGATTGGATTTGATGCTGCTGAAGCTCAGATGCAGGTTTGTTTCATTTACTTGAAAGTGTTGAATACTATACCATTCTTGTTCAGTGTTGTGCTGCTTGAATAATATGCAAGAATCTACTTGAAAATTAAAGATCATGCAGGAGTAGTTCAAATGGTGGATTGTGCCATCTGCTGAAAACATTTCTATCAGTTGAACGGTACTGTTCATTTTGTTTTTTTGCTGGATAATGATTTATTTTTTAGATAGCAATATGTCTGTTGGATAACAATTTATTGGGAAGTGGGGATTGCGCAGGGGTCAGAACGTTTACCTCTCATTGCTGTGGTCCAGGTTCAATTCTCAGACCTGTCATTACATAAGGGTTGGGTTTGTTGTTAACCCTTTAAATCCCAGAAGTGATCAACATGAAACTTCTCCCTATAATATCCTTACATTATCCAGCAAATAGGTAGTGAGAATATTCAAACTTATCAGGTAGATGTTGTTATCCTAATCTAGCACCAAATTCTCATTACTACTTTACAAGGAAATGTGTAGCAGCTGGAGAGGAGAATTAATAATTTAATTTTGGGAGTTAAAGGGTTAATTCCTGTCCTTGTTCTGATGTCTATATTCTGGGTCCTTCAGTTTTCCTTTTTCCAGGAAAACCAACAGTTCAGATTCCAATTTGACTTGGAAACAGCTGACAAGAAGAGCCACTTTTTGGGATGTCTGCTGCTAAATTCCCATTCCCATTCCCATTTCCATCTCCATTCCCATTCCCATTCCCAATGATCTATTTTATCTCATTATCCATCCATTGAACAATCGGGATGAGGTGAATTTAAAAGTGTCAACTTGCATTTCATCCAGTATGCAGCAGAACGTGAGATAATGCTCGTTAATTCTTAAATATTATCTCTAACAATTGCTACTATAAGTTAAATGTGTCTTTCATGTCAAAGAGGAATTACATTTTGCTGTTATTCATCATGATATTTCTTTTCTTGTGTTTAGGGACTACTGGAAAGTTTGCATACGTTTCTCGTTGGTGATTATCCTGGTAATGATTACTTTATAACACCAAAGTTTAGTTATTTGCCTTTTTTTTCAAGGAAGCTTATTTTCAACCCCTCGATATCATAGGTCAGCAAAGCATATAAATGTTATCTGCAATGTCAGCACAAAAATTCAAACTCTTAAGACAAGGGCTGCATTTTTAGTAACAAACCAGATACTTGTGATATATTTAACTGTCAGATGTTTAAGGTAAAGTCCCTTCTACACTGTAGCTAGTATATTCTTTCATCAATACATCAAAAACTGCATGTACCAGTAGATAACATCATTGGATTCTCAATGTTCCATTTGGAAAGACAGGTATTTTTTCCTTCAACCTGTTTGTCACCTTGGTTTCCTTTTTCTTTTTCTTTTTTTTTTACAGTGAGCTTAAAGAATCTGTCTCTCAAATTGGCTCTTATCCTTGTAACAGTAAGTACACGTGCAAACTAAGTTAGTTTGTGGAATAATCTTGATCTTCTTTAACTCTTTTACTCCTTGGATCTCATTGGGAATTCTTGTTACTGTCTGCCATGCAATTCTTATGATTTTAGTTCTGAGAATTTGTGATTGGATCAACTATTTATATCCTAAATGATATTTTCCTCTATTCTCATCACTTTTCTGCATGATGCTGTTTGAATCTTGTAGAGGTAAATTTCTGTCTCGGTCATTCATAGGAGTTTAATGGTTGAGTAGATATTTTTTCAAGCCTACTGTGTATTCCTTGGGTATATGAGCTTGTGGATGTTTTTCCTCTAAATCTTGCCCAGTATGCACAAACTTTATTCGTGGCAAGGGTTCCCATCTGAGCCTGACAGTTTTCATCTTTTTGTTGCAGGCAACAGACAATGTTAGTCAGAACACAATTGTGGAGTATATTATGATCAACAGCATCTTTGAAGCTGTTATTCAGGTAATATTTAGAGTATTTACTAGTTTCATAGTCATGAATACATTGTGAAACACGATAACCACTTTAGACACTATAATTATTCTGATTTACAAAGAAGGATGTTGTAAATCTTGTCATGAATTTGGGTCAAAGAAAACAATATGTCACATTCTAAGATGGCTTGAACCTCTGACCCTCTGAGTTTGTAGTGGGGTACTTTGTCAACAGAGTTATACAAAACTCATGGTCTGGTGAATGAAGCCATTGCTCCATTCATTTTGAGACATTCATCATACATTCTGTAAGGATCAGAAATGTCAAAAGGATCCTTTCCAGAGGTCAAGGTAGAGAGGTGGTCATGTGAACTTTGAGCTTGTTTGTGGGATAAAGGAAGATCTCAAATTATGGGGAGAGAGAGAGAGAAAAAAAAAAGATAGATTCACTACAGATTATTCAAGCCCCAGACCATCCAACTTCACTGTCAGATGGTTCATTCTAAGAACTTTCTGTTGGTAAAGGTTCTTGCTGATCCAGTGGCCAGACAGCAACATGGATATGAAGCAATGCTGCTGCTGACAATTCTGGTGAATTACAGGAAGTATGAGGTTAGTGATGGACAATTGTAAACCTGTTGGATTATTTTGCTGATCAAAACTGTAAAAGAGATGCTTATGAACAGTTATTGATAAAGTTGTATTACTACTGTAGCCAAAATGGAATATATTTTACACTAAGTCTAATTGATTTTAATCAATTTCCTTGCAAAATCACTTAATTTTTTTTCTTTTTATGTGGTTATACTTAAATTTAATTATAATTTTATAATCGTATTCATACATGTTTGAAAAAAATTCCATCTTTAAAATTGTCATTAAAAAAATTTTTTTTCCTTCTTTTTTTATCAGGCATCAAATCCATATATTGGGAAGTTATCCATTTTGGACGATGAATTAGCTCTTAATGTATGTATAACAAAGAACAGTAAGGAAAAATTTCAAAATTGCTAATTAGCTCTTGTGTATTTGTATTTGCAACATTTAGACAGGCTGGCCCAGTTCAGCTTAAATCTGGTTTGTGTGGGGCCTTTGTGACCAATAACAGTACCAGGAGCTACATTCCTTACTCTTTGTGAGAATTGCATGGGTTCCTTAACATCCCCTCTGCTGACAGGGGATGCAGATTCAGAAGAAGACCAAAATGGCTAATCATTTGTGTATGTCATAGTAAAGGCAGCAGATTTTCCTCAGTTATTTTGAGACCCTGAATGTTGGTCAAGTGTGGGAATTGAACTGTCAACCTTTGGCATGGCAGTCTGGGGCTCTACAACGCGAGCTAACAGAGTCCTTTTAATAACTTGAAGAGCTCAATTTGACTTAGAAATGGCCAAATTTTAATTTTGTTCCTGTTCACGGTAATTGTGAAGAACTATTTTACCATGTTTGTGTTACAAATGATCCCAAACACTTGTAATTATGTTTTCAAGCATAATTATGAAGTTAAAGAAGTGATCTTGTTAGATTTGTTTCTCTGGAATATAAACATAGTGATATTCACTGAATGTGCATCTTGTATTTCTTCTCCCTTTGAAGGGTTTTGGATGTGTTATATCAGCCGCACTTACCGATTACAACAGGTACGTTTTCAAAGATTAGTGAGCACACAGTATTTCCTCAAATAGGTAGCTATTCTCTTACAACTGCCCGTCCAAATAAGCAGCCATACCCATGGCCATGAAGGTAAATGAGTTACCTCTGTTTTTTGTGTTACTTGTAGTAGCAAGCTTGTTCAAGTTGAATCTGTTTGGGGCCAATATTTTGATATTATAATTATCTGTAAACTTTTTGGCTTCAACTATATCTCCATGATTACTTGTGAGATAAAATTTTGGCACTTACGCGGTTAATTTTACTCTCAATTGTTAGATATAATTCCATAATACACTCAGTTCAAGATTTCTTTACTTTGTTCCAGGAAACATGCAGCCATGTTAGAGCAGGCCTCAGGAGGATTAATCAGCTCCATTACCAGCTTTGTATGCATCCTTCCCATACGAAATTTACTTTAAGTTCTTGGTCTGCATGGAAAGGGGAAAATTTTTTAAATCTTAGAACTTGCAATATTTAGAGCACTTTTCAACTGAGTTTTGTAAAACCGAGACCAAAGTAATCACGAGGGCCAAGGAGAAGAAAGGAAAATGCCATCAAAAGCCAATGAGAATTCAAAATGAAAACAAGCAAACTGCTTAAAGCGCGGGAAAAACGCGGGCGACCAAGATGTGTTTGATTTTAGTTTTGCGTCTGATTGGTTGAGAGAGTGACGCGAGTTTTTTTTTTACCAATCAAAGAGCGAAGTGAAGCCAAAAAAAAAAATCCAATCCCCGATTTTCTTTCGACACTCACTTGAAAATTGTTCTATTGTAACCAAACTTAGTCAAAAGCACTTTATGATAGTCGTTCTTTCTCTTTCTTCCTTACGACTTTCAGCTAGCCTCTCGCATGTGCCAGTGCCTTACTTGTTCGTTTTATTGTTCCATAGGTTGGAAGCATGTTCGTTGCTGAGACAGAACGAGCGGAATGTTTCAGGTATCCGATTGTAGCTTACCTCATTTAGAACATTTAACTCACGGATTGCAAAATGATATGGATTTATGAACTCTGTAGAACTTCTATTGACACATATAGGCTGATTAGTAAGTTTCCGTTCTCCTCCTTGTGGGAAATGCCTAACGGTTAGTACGCTGGACCCTGGTCGCGTTATTGTGTTCTTGGGAACGACACATTACTTTTACCTAGTACCTCTCTCCACCCATGAGGATAAATGGTTAACAGTGAACCCCCCTGGAAGCCTGATAAAAAAACGCGGGGGAGGGGGGGGGCAATGCTCCTAGTCACTTCACTCTACAGAGACTGAGATAAGCTTTGGCCAGATGAGCCATTTGACTTGATAGGTAACTTTGCATGGTATGTAAATCGCTTCAGGGAGTATTAACTACCGCCATTCCGGGATCCATTCACTTGAATAAGGATGTGCAACTGGCCTGTTTTTCACCCAACTCGGCTTTGGACGAAATCGGGTGGTGGGCGCGAAGTGCGAGTCACGCGCGAGTTCTTCCTCTAGCTTGTGACTCGCTCTGTTCGTGTGAGTCGCTCTTTATGTGCGACTGGTTCTTCATGCGTGACTCGCTTTTTGCGCATGACTTGCTTTCAGCGCGTAACTCGCTCTTTACTCAACCTCGCGATTACTTCCGCCCGCCTCAAAGACGCATTTTTTTTTTCTTCAGACTCGTGTGCATCATGTAGCAAGTTTGAATGAGATTGGGGCAGTAGGAATTAATCAAGTTCCGTTTTCAATCTTTGCTAAATCTTCATGTTATTTCTTGTTAGCACGAACGAAGCAGTCCTTTTAGCTCTGTATGAAGCGGTGCACCTCAACAGAAATTTCTTCACTGTTCTTAGTCATGTTACGGTAAGCGCCTGTTGGTTTTTGACAACTTTAATGTATAGCTTTGATATCAGTTTTTTTGATGAGTTCGAGAGGACTCGAACAGTAGACCTTTTGAGCTTTCGGCTGATGCTCTTAAACTGAGCTGAGTGACAGAGAACTCGTTTTGAGTCAGGCCAAAAAGAAGTGCTATGAGAGTTTCTTTTAAACGGCTTGTACAAACAATATTACATATGGAACAAGACCGTTAGTATTTTAGTCTTCACCCTGCTAATTTGTTTAAAAACTCAGATGAAGGAAAAAGAGAGAGAGCCCAGGGAAGGCGTGATAGCCTTCATTTTGTGAGGCCTTGTTTAATCATTTTTAATCTGCATTCATATAGATTGTTAAACGTTATCTTTTTTATTGTTATCTTTAGACCGCTCCTGGATCAAGTCCTCCTCCATCACCGACAGCCGCTCCTCCTGTGGTTGAAAGGACTGCCACCGGTCGGTACAGTTACATGTAATATTGGGTAATTTTTGATGGGTTCGTCTTCTTTACGCCTCGTAATTGGTTCACAAAACTCGTGCCACCATTCCAACCAATCAGATGCTCTGGTCTTTGGTCCGTCGCGTTTTCCCGCGCTTAATGCAGTTGATATATGTTTACTTTGAGTTCTTTAAGCGTTTTTGAAATGTCTATCTTTATTCTGATGAGCTGTCGAGATTTTTTTGCTTTTGATTTTACAAAGTCAGTTAAATACGTACCATTCAAAATCAAATTCAGAGGATTGATTTTCATTTACGGACAACACTTCCATGTATGACTGCAACAACGCATTGCACTTGAAAATGCTAGGTAGTTTTGAATATCGTAGGAGTAAGGAAAAAAAATCACCCAGCGCTTATGGCTTAGCGGATATCACTTCTCATTTCTATTCTTCGTTTTTTTATCCTCATAGCCGCTGTCGTTGAAGACTTTCCACCCGACTTGAGTCAGCCCACGAATTTACTCGTAACCCTCTTAACATATTCCTCCATTGCTCTACAGAATACAAAAGGTAAGGTAAAACAGGCCTTGATGTGCTTCTGTTTTCCTTTGCAAAGGAAACCCGTGGTAACTTCAATACTATAGTCTGATCGTCCGGGTGAGTGTAGTCCTGAGAGGGTCTGTTGTCGGTAGTAGTGAATGATGTTTCGGCCACCTCAGCGGAAGTCAGTATCAACGTAACGTTATTTGTCTTTCAGATGACAAAGGAGTAAGCAATGCCAAGCTGTGTCTGGTGATTTTAACATGTATTGTGGAGGTAAGATCAACTCCTTTGAAAACAGATTCTTTTAACGTAGGCGAACAGACTGCATAATTAGTAAACAGGTATTTTGCAACAAACTGATTCTCAGTGAGAAAACTGACTTGGCCTCACAGAGATCCACCAAGCCTTTCCGATTGATTGTTTCTAGGTGGTGAACTTTTCGTACAAATGAAAATCAATCAGGGATACGAAAAGAATTTTTAAAGAGCACGTAATCGGAATGGAATGTTCAGGTTCGAAATTAACCCCCCTAAGTCTTGTGTGAGGGTGCGACGCAAATGAAGCTGTTGCCGCATTGAACGAAGTCATCATTTGCATATCTCTAACCTCTAAAATTATTGCATTTTTTCCCAACCTAGAAACTTCTAGGTATACTACAATACATGTAGCTTAATCTTCCAACGCTGTTTGTTGTTCTTCAGGATCAGTATGCGAATGTTTTTCTTCACGACGCGAACATGACGTTCTCAGTACCACTTCACAGAGCGGTATGTACTGCGGACTACTTTAATTGAGCCCACGGTCGGTGGTAGAAGTGTACGAACAGCGAGAGTCGAAGTGCTCGTAATGTTTTCTGATTGGACAATACTCATCGGGAACCCATTTGGGAGTATCCGGTCAGCATGTCTCGGGAGTTTTTGTATTGTAGTACTGGTGTCCAAAAAGATATGCGGCAAAGATAGCTTACAGTGATAACTGGACGGCCTTTGAGGAATTTGCAAATTGTTGGGAATGTTTTATTTTCGTTAACCACGAGTAGAGCCCCTTGGTTTAAAGGTCCAAAACCTTTTGATTCGGGTCATCCCAGGCTCATTTCACATGTACCTCTGTTAGTGAAGCGTTCGATCCCCTAATTAATAAAAGCTTAAGTGTTTATTGTGTGGTTTTTCCTCTTTATCATAGCAAATGTACCACAGAGGCCCAGTTATCGAAAAGAACGCTCCTTCAAGACCTCTCGCGTGTGCGTTACTTGGTAAGAATTTACAGAGAATTGTTTTCGGGGCTTCTTTATCACAAATCAGTTGAAATTATACGGGAAGAATTATTGAATGTTTCAACTTCAATGAATGAAAGTGTTTGTTTTTCAGACCTCATGGTGGAATTTATTGTAACTCATATGATGAAAACTTTACCAATTGACTTGTACAGGTAAAAAGTAACGACTCTGAACGTTGACCCTCTCACTAAGGTTATAAAATCTTGCAATTTCTTCCTGCGATTTTAAAACACTTTGAAGTAGACGGATAACTTGCGATCGACGCTGAAGTTAGCTATCTTTTTGTTTCCTTACTCGTGCAGTAAAACATTTGGAATCTTGCATCGTATGCTGTGTTACCAGAAGAGATGTCGAGTGAGACTCTCCTATTCGTGGAAAAATTTCTGGACGGCCCTTATGAACTTTCTAAAGTTCCTTCTGTCCAATGAAACGGTCCTCACCAAAACCTGTGATATCTTCTCCCTGGCATCGCAAGTACGTTTACAACTGAATCTTCTTCTTTTTCCATTCAGAGATGATGAATTTGACGGTGGTATCTGTTAAGTACTGACACAAACTCGAGCAGTAATCACTCGTAACTCTTTAAACCCCCAAGAAAGACTTGCATCTAATTTCTCCTTACAATATCGCCCCTGAAGCAAACATGAAGGTCACGAGCATAAGAGAAATTATCACTAACTAAAGAAGCTCTTGATTGTTAAGCAAAGGAATTATGAAGAGACAAGTGCGGAGAATTTGCATATTGATGTTAGGGTGTGAAGTTTTTAAGTTGTTCCCCTATTTATTATAAGAGTTTGATGATGTGCGGTAAACCTCGTTATTTCTACAAACGAAAAAGCGACTGAGGAAGGCGAGTGGTATATTTTAAGGAGTATACATGTTTCTTTCCATCTTAGCTTTCACTCTTATTTACATTTCTTCATTGTAGGTTGTTAACATTTTTAATTTGTTCATCACGTATGGAGATACGTTTCTTCCTTCTCCGACATCATACGATGAACTCTACTACGAAATCATTCGCGTTCATCAAATTTTTGACAATCTTTATTCTATGGGTAAGTAAATAAAGATGTATAGGATATTATTAACTACTTTGTAAGCTTTCTTTCGCTTAAATTGAGTTTGTTCGCGTGATATTAAGTTTACACAGCTTTCAGAGTGGTATTGTTGCTTCAAAGATGGTCAACTTGGTGGTGACTTATGATGTCACTGTTTCTCATTGGCTGAAATATACGCGCGAAAATTTAAGACCGACTCAAGCCAATCTTGGGGTAACATCGAGCTAAATAACACGTCAAACGTTAGCGCATGTGCAAATTTTGTAATCACTGGATGGCGTGTTTTCAGGCTGTCGGTATTAGCTCACAAAAGTTACAGACAACCACACAAGCCAGTTAGTCACGTTGTTTACAAGCGTGAAACGTTTTTGGCAAAGCTCAAAACAGAATGCTAAATCAACAGGATATCCGCGCTTGAATAAGCTTTGTGTTCAAAAAGTCTTGAGTTTTCCTTTTTCCTGCTTTTGTTTCCTTTTTATCGATTTCTATGAAAGGTTCAATTTTCTTTCGCTTATTTTGCGAGATAGCGTTTGTTTTTCACGTTTTCCTCGAAAATTTTTCGCGAGATTTTGGCGCAAGGCCGGCCAAAATTGTTTCCGTTGTGCATGCCTTATGTTTGACCGCTGTGTTTTCTTGGGGTAACAACGAGCTAAAGGGAAATGTCAAGACGTGCATCAGCGGTGAAAGAATTAACTTAGAATTTCTTTCTTTTTGCCATTACTCGTCAGCTGTTAACGATTTGTTTGATGCCAACAGCGTTAAGACACTCAACAAATGGTGGCGACTGGAAGGATGCGGCTTCTCGTTTGGCGAGCTCTTTAGTGAATGTCAGGTGAGATAAAATTAATTTTGATCGAGTTTCGGAAAAGGCAAAGTTATCACAACGGCCAATTCGAATCAAAGTGTTATAGCCAATGGGGACTCAAAATAAATTAATGTTTACGGCCTGAAGAGCTAGACTTTCAATTTAGGTGGACAGCATTTGAGTTAATTTGCGCATCCTGCCATAGGTCATCCTGGTTTCTGTTCCATGAAGCGACCAGGAGTAATACTTCAAGTAATACTTCAATACTTGTTAGTTCATCGCAGCTTCACAATGAATGTAAACGCTTGACTTGCCTTGCATTCTTCTTACAGGGCAATCATAAACCATTTTACGCCAAAAATCGATTCATGGGCAGCTGTCAATCACCTGACGTCAATGACTTCGGAACAGGTTTGTACATTGCTCAGGAACCAATCATTTTATCGCCTTGGGGTCGGAGGATTTAAGGGGGTTCACTTGGTTTTCAGGGAAGAATGAAGGGGGAATCAGTCGTCGTCAACAGAGTATGAAAGAGGAACTAAATTCACAGCCAGTAAACTGCCTTTGGGGGGTGGGGGTGGGGGAGACATGAGAATATTACATAAATTTAACCCGTGATACAACTTACAACCAAAATCCTCCGACCCTACTCCCCCAGGCGATTATCGGTCCTTTTGCCGAATTGCTCGCTTTTGATGGTAAATCAGGTAATTTAGTGTTAACAACTGGGTTGAAAACGTAAATTAGCCACCGTAAAGAGTAAAAAAGCTGACGTTTTTAGCCCTTCGTCAGAGCGATTGGTGGTAAATCGTTTGGCTAGAAATGGTGGGCTTATTACTAAGCATTTAAAAGTAACAACGCTGTATGATTATTTATGATTTCAGGTATTGGGCGTAATACGTAGTAATTATGACACTTTGACGCTAAAACTCCAAGACAATTTGGATCATTACGAAAAATATTCAGAGAAACCGAAAGAGGCGGCTTTCTTTACTCAACTGGTGAGTATACACTATTTAGTAATTAATGCTAGGCTCAATTTTTACATGAATCTTTTCCAAACAAACAAACCGAAAAAACTTTTAACACCTATGTTAAACGAGATGAATTACAGCAATTTTTAATTGAGTTTCAAAGGAACCGGGATCTCATTGGTCTTGCTTTACTTTGCTCTGTGATTGGTCTAGAGAACTCGCGCCACCCTCTCAACCAATCAAATGCAACTTGGTCACACGCATTTTCCCGCGCTTGAGACAGTTTCTTGTTTTTTCATTTGATTTCTCATTGATTCCTTTCGGTATTTGTGAGTTCAGCTTTCGAAGTTCTTTTCTTTGTTCCTTCAGTTGACTTGAAGAGGACAGCAAAACTCGATATCCATAGATAGATGGCGTTCCCTTTTTAACACGACTCTTAAAGTGATTTTTATTCTTATTTGCACAGGTACGTTCAATTGTTATTGAAGTTCGCCGGACAATTTCCGTCAGTAACCTCGAGCAGTTTAGTTTGCTACAAGAATTTGCGACCATACACTGAAATGTGTTTGTTACTAGACCTGCTGCAGCAAATGGACTGGACGAAGCAATCTCCGTTTATATCGAGAATTTGCGTCAAAGAGATATACAGACCTTATTTAATGCTCTTTGGCTTCGAAGTGGTTTTATAAGATGGTCTTTAGTGGAAAATAAAACCGGGGTATAGTAAATGGGCGAAACAAAGAACCATGATATAGCTGGAATGTTTCATCGTCATTGATCAGCGAGTGTACTCCATCAATCCTCGTAAACACATGGCGATCATTCCAGGTTTTGAACGAATGTTTAGACGAGAAATATAACGTGCAATAAAGGATGGTATTTTTTTTCAAGGGAATCTTCACTACAATAAAAAGAATTGATTCCATGACTTTCAGTAAATCGTGTTGCATTTTTAAGAGCGAACATGAGGTTTATCAAGCAATGTTCAGTGCAGAAATGGTTTGTGAGGGGTCGGTCTTTTTTTATCGCCTGGAGGTGTCACGATAAATTTTACCTGACTCCACTATAAGGCTCAGTAATATTCTTATGATCAATTTTTATCCTCTGTTGGCGACGACTGATCCCACTCCGTTGGCCTGAAAACCATGTGATCTACCCTAAAATCTTCGCGCCACCCCAACCCCCTGGCGATCAAAAAGAGTGACTGTTCCCTAAATAGTGTTGCAGCGAAATTGTACATTTACAATGATACAGCGGTGAAAAATATATTCACTATGGGATTTCAGATTTCAAATGGTCTCAAGGTTTTATTGCTGATATTTCATTTTGAGAAAGATAAGCAGACGAGCTGACAAACAACCGTTATAGCAAGTGAACTTTTGAAAATTTCATGGTATTAGTTTATAAAATGATAACGAAGAAAAGATTTCAAAATTAAAACATTGTTTGAGTAGAGAAATTAAATGGTGGTCCTATTGTAGTAGTTTAAAGTGTTTCTTCGTT